ACTCAGGTTTTGCCTCTCTGTTACTTAAATTTGGGCCTAACACAGAAGTCCCCTGGCTTGTAACTTCGTGTGACTTGGCCCATTTGACAGAGCTGATCTGGAGCTTCCTCCCTTGTTGCAGCTAAGCTTGCAACAACTCCTTAGTCGCCAATTCCTTCTGCACAGTCCAGAAGTTCTTTTGGAATGGGGCTGTTCCTTCCCTTCCTTCTGAAGCCGTGTCATCTCCTGTGGAGCAGCTCTAGGCCTCACGCCCGGGGTAAGAGAAGCAGCGAGGACCACCTGGGCTCACCTGGGCTCAGCTGGGCTGAGTGGAGAGGAGCTTCTCCGTGCAGTATGAATTTCCCACCAACAAGCTCGGCTCTATCCCTGGTCGTCTCATTCGGTCTTCCAGGAGAGCTAGGCTGAGCTGGTCTGCTCAGATGCTGGGACAGAAAGCTCTTGCTGCCCATGGAGTGCCCAGGCTGCCCCACCAACTGCAGGGGAACCATGAAGGTAAGGGCTTTCTTTCCAGGGGAAACGGGCTGTTGTTCGCTTGCAGGAATCCTAGAGCCGAAATAGGCAGTCCAGCTCTAAAAAAAATATGGATGAGGATTCCTCCCAGACAAATGGTGCAACCAGAGAAAGCTCTTGCTGCCCATGGAGTGCCCAGGCTGCCCCACCAACTACACAAAAACCCACTACGGTAAGTGCTTTCTTACCTGTGGAAAAAGGGTGTTGTTCATTTTCAGGAATCCCGTGCTGAAGTCAGCACTCAAACTCCCAAAATTGAACATGGACGAAGATTCCTCCCATACAAAAGGTGCCACCACAGAAAGCTTTTGCTGTTCACAGAGTACCAAGGCTGGCAAAACAACTGCACCTGAAACCCAAAGGTTACAGTCTTTCTTTGGGGGGGGGGGAAGAGCTGTTGTTCTCTTTTTTCAGCTCTGTGCTGAAAGTGCCAGTCCGACTCCCAAATTTGAATTCTAATGAAGTTTCGTCTGAGACAAAAGGTGCCAGAACAGAAAGCTCTTGCTGCCCATGGAGTGCCCAGCCTTACCCATCAACTGCACCTAAAACCCAAAGGTTAGCGGCTTCTTTCCTGCGGAAAATGGCTCTTGTCCTGTTTTTTCAGCCCTGTGATGACATTACCACTCTGAATCCCAAAATTGAACACGGACGAAGATTACTACCAGACAAAAGGTGCCAGGAGAGAAAGTTCTTGATACCTATGGAATACCCAGGCTGGCCCAACGACTGCCCAAGGAACCATAAAGATAAGGGCTTTGTTTCCAGGAGAAAAGAGCTGTTGTTTGCTTGAAGGAATCCAAGAGACGAAATAGGCAGTGCATCTCCCAAAATTGACTATGGAAAAAGATTGCTCCCAGACCAAAAGTACCACAACAGAAAGCTCGTGCTGGCCATGGAGTGCCCAAGCTGGCTCACCAACAGCACCTGAAACCATGAGGTAAGGGCTTTCTTTCCAGGGGAAAAGGGCTGTTGTTCACTTGCAGGAATCCTAGAGCAGACATAGGCAGTCCAGCTCCAAAAATTGAATATGGATGAAGATTCCTCCGAGAACAAGGGTGAGAGGAGAGAAAGTTCTTAGTACCAATGGAGTGCCCAGGCTGGCCCACCAACTGCACCAGAAAGCCAAAGCTTGCAGGCTTTCTGTCCTGGGGATAAGGGCTGTTTGCTTTTTTCAGCCCTGCAATGCAACCATCAGCCCGACTCCCAAAATTCCATAGGGACGAAGATTGCTCCCAGACCAAAGGTGCCAGCCCAGAAAGCTCTTCCTGCATACGGAGAGTCCAGGCTGGCCCCCTAACTGCACCAGAAAGTAAAATCTTACAAGCTTTCCATCCTGGGGATAACGGCTATTTTTCCTTTTCTCACCTCTCTGCAGAAAATACCACCCCGACTCCCAAAGTTGCACATGGACGAAGATTCCACCCAGACGAAACTTGCCACGACAGAAAACGCTTGCTACCCATGGAGTGCCCAGGAACCGCCACACACTGCACCTGAAAGCCAAAGCTCACAGGCTTTCTGTCCTGGGGCACAGGGCTGCTGTCCCCTTTGGTCAGCCCCGCCCCGCCATTGCCGGCCACCCGATCCAAAACCGATCCAAATGAGGATTCCTCGCAGGGAAAAGCTGCCAGCACAGAAAGCCCTGGCTGCCCACCGAGTGCCCAGGCTGCGCCACACACTGCACCTGAAAGCCAAAGCACAGAGCTGTATGTCTCAAACTTTTTGACTTTCTTTGGCGATTGTCTTTATTTACCTTCTTCTAGAGTTTCAGGAAAAATATGCTGTGCTTGGCAAAAAGCCTCCTCCAAACTGATGGTCTTGTGGTCCCTGTGAGAGCTGAGAACAGAGCACAGCATGCAGATGCAGACCATGTCTCTAGTCAGTGGTCTGATCCACATGACTTGATAACTTGGGGAAAGGGATATGTTTGTCTCTACAGATAATGGCCCTCGCTGAATACCTGCATGGTATGTACGTCCTGCTGTTGGTCCTGAAAGTCATCAGTGCGGTTCCCGACCTGTGAAAGTTCACTCCATGGCATAGTTGAAACGTCTGGGTGACACTAATGAAGGAACTGAATCACACGACCTTTTGTGCATCACTGGCATATCCAGACCAGCCATTTCACACCTGTCTTGTTGGTGTTCCTCTGGGTGACACAGAAGCGTCTCTCCTGGTGCAGGATGTCATCCGATGGCGTGACTTATTGAAACGGGACTGCCATACCGTGTGCAGGTGTCTTGATCATGTTGATGGCTGGGATGATGTGTTGTCTGTTAGCACTCCACTTCAAAAGTTAGGTATTTTAGAGTCACTGTTTGTAAAAGACTGTGTGTATTTTAATCATTGTGTAGGTTATGACATAGAACGAGCACGTGGTGAGTCTATGGTACGGGATGTGTTCCCTGAATTGTCTTTCTATAGAAATAGTTCCTTCTGGTGTCGGTAAGAATCGGACTTGGAGTACTCCAGCAGTGAGTGCACCTTGTCGACTCCCTGCGGGAGTGTTTCTTCTGTGTGGAGATAAAATCTGGCCAGGAATCCCTGCACAGCCAATAGGGCTGTACATCTAAAAAGTTGGTTGGTTGTAGTTGTGTTGCTAATGCTGCCTTGTCTAGTGTCGTTCCTGCAAAGGGCCCTGCAGGATACGATCCGGGCAGTCTTTGCTGCTCAACTACAGAACAGGGGGAATTGCCTAGCTATGGTACAAATTAAGTGCCATGGTCAAAAGGATGCAGATAATTTGGGCACTGATGCATACCTATCAAAACCCATTAGAACTTGATGAAGGAATTCGTAAGTTATAAGTAAAAGGGGGGACTGAAACAGGAGGCCAGGCCCAAAAGAGTTAACTAAGAAATTTGGGCCTGCTAACAAGCTACTAACATCCAAAACGATCTGTGCTTAAGAGAATGGTAAAAGAACATGTAATAGGCCTAGAGGTAATAAATTAAGATGCAGTAGGATAAAGTAGACATTTGAATAGAAAAAACAGGCTGGAAGCCAAGGCCTTCTCCAAGCCTCAGTGAGTGGGTCAAGAACAATAGAAGAGAAGAGAGGTCAGGCCGAGGAAGGTGAGAATTAGCCCCCAGACCGATGGGATGAAGAGCAGATGTCCCACCAAAATTGAGGGCCAAGAGAAGCACCGCCCCAAGCCCCACCTGAGCTCCACCTATACTCCACCTGTTATTAATATGTATAGATAGATGTTGTAATCGTTTCAATATGCATTTAATCATACAAAGATTGTATAAAAACTGCTGATTTTGTGTGAAGCCTTCGAGCAAGTTTGTCCAGCGCGAGCTGGCTTGCTCCCAACGTTGAATAAACAAATGCCTTGCTGCTTAAAGATAAAAAAAGTCTCTGAGCAGTTTCTCAGACCGATTTTTCGGATTCAGTCTCCTGCCCAAAGAACTGTGCCCCCAGGGGACGACTCCCCGAGGAGGCCCGGGCGTTGTGGGTGCTGCTGCTCCTGTGCACAGCCTGCTGCTGTTGTCTGTGGCTTGGGCAGCAGCCACTGCGCAGCCCTGCCCGAGGAGCCCCGCGCCCTCCCCGTGCTGGCAGCAGCTCTGCGGGCCCAGAGCTCTGGCTCAGCGGGTTCTGGGCCACAGCCCCGTGGCCTGGGCAGCCGCGGGGGTCCGGGCTGGCCCACAGCCCTGCCTCTGCCCCTGCCCCTGGCTGGCAGCACCCAGCGGGCAGGGCCCCCTTGCCCTCCTTGTCCCCAGCCAGGCCAGCCTGGTCCCCTTCGCGCTGTCCCCACCCTCCTGACCAGGCCTCCAGGCCTTCTGCAGCAGGCATGGCAGACGCCCCAGGCAAGCGCCACAGCAGCCGGCCAACACACGGGCAGGACACAGACAGCACTTCCTGCCTGTGACAGGGCTTCTGGCCATCTCCAAGGACCTTTTTCTCAGGGATCCCCACAGCTCCAGGCTTTGCCCATCTGCTCTGCTGCAAGCTTGGAGGCTTCAGCAGAGCACCACCAAAGGCCAAGGGGACTTAGGGTTCTTTCTCTTCTCACCGCACACCTGGGCAAATGTTGCTAAGCCCAAGGACCCTTTGTCCCCTCTTCCCCAATCCCCTGTGGAAACTGGGCACCAAAAAACACTCCTGAGCCTCTGTACGTGACAAGAGGAATTTTATAGTCCCATGCTGGGGTAGAGGAAAGTGCTTGCAGAGCAGGGGTCTTCCTCGCAGGCTCACGTGGCCCCAGCAGACACAGCTTCCCACGTCAATCCTCCACAGAGCTCTGGCAGCACAGGCAGAAACTGCCCCACAGAGCAGGCCGGGTCTTGCAGGCCCTGCAGAACCAGTCTCACAGCTGCGGCTGTGTGCAGGATGGAGCTCTATGGACAGCTTCGATGACATGGAAGCTCTGACGTGCCAGGCTCGAGACAGTGGGGCTGGTGTCATTCTTCATACCCGGAAGGGCTGCAACAGGGAGCAACAGAGCCAAGGTCAGAGCCTGGATCTGTGGCCACCCAAGAAGCCACTCCAGCCAGGGCCATCTCACCCAGTTCTTGCCATGGCCAAAAGGGAGCGGGGCCCAACAGAAACAGCCGGTAGGCGCTGGCCACCAATCCCCTCCGCGCCCCTGAAATCTCTCCCTGCTCTGCCCAAGCCGTTCCTCATGCGTGCAGGGAGCAGAGCCCTCCGCAGCCAGGACAGGATTGCAGCTCCCTGCCCAGGCTCTGTGCTCCTCCACCAGCCCTCACTGAGACCGCGCTGCCCTCACTCACTGTCCATGATGTCCTGCAGCTCTTCAGGCTGTCCCTGCATATACCTCCCGGCCATCCCTGGGAAGACAGGTGCTGTCACGGCCCAGCGGCACAGCTCCCCCCCCAGTGGTGCTGCCGGTCCGGCCACACGCCCTCTTGCCCTGGCAGGGCTGAGCCCAGGGCCTTCCGGCCTCGGGACGCCCCAGGGCTGGGCTGGCACAGGGCGGCGGCGGCATCCACCGGGGCACTCGGGGCTCCACAGCACATCCCTGGGCCGGATCCTGCTGCCGCTGCAGCAGCCGGGGCTGGGGCCGAGCTGCGGCGGGGCGGGGAGGGACCTTGTGGCTCACCTGTGAACCTGACGGCCGCCTCGCGCAGGGGCTCCTGTGGGCTCTCCAGGTATGGAAGGGCCTGGCGCAGGTACTCGGCCACTCGGCTCCGCTCCTTTTCCAGCTGCAGAGAGCGGCAGGGCACGGAGGGAAGGGTTGGCTGGGGCTCTGCCCCTTGGCCGGGTGCTGCCTGCGCCCAGCACTGGCCTCCCCTGCCCGCACCCCCCAGGGAAGGCAGCAGCGTGTGGGGCGCAGGCTGCTGTCCCGCAGGCGGCTGCAGCAGTGGGCAGGGGCACAGGGCCAGCCCCACACTCCAGGCATCGGGGGCTGGGGGCTGGTCCAGCCTGGGGCTGGGGCTTCATGGCCGTCCTTACCAGGCACTCGCTGAACCTCCACAGCTCCTTCTTCTTCACGATCTTCTCGAGATCCCTCCTCTTCACTAAGCCGGCCACACAAAGCAGCGCTTCCCCAGAGGCCTGCAGAGCAACAAGCACTGGGACATGGCACCACAGCCCAGGGCAAAGGACCCGTGTCCCTGGAGCAAGGCCAGCAGGAGGCTGGAGCCCGTGAGGTGCCAGGGCAGGAGGCAGCCCGGCCCCCTCCCGCGGGGACATCAGAGCCCACAAGTGCTCACCTCTGCCACTCTCTGGTTCTCATCATGGCAGTGGAAGAAGAGTGGAAGCAGGCTCTGGCGGACGTGTGGCTTCAGGGGCTTTTTTCCCTCTTTCTCTACCATCAGCATCACCCCACGGAAGAGGAGGATGGAGGACAGCTGCACACTGCTGTCAGCCTGGTGGAAATGGAAAGACCTCAGCACTGAATTCTCCAGGCCCACCTGGGCACAGGCCTGAAAATCCACAAGGCACAAAGTTTCCTGCCAGCACCCATGGCCTGTGGCTGCGGGGCACAGAGCCTTACGTTGTCGAAGAGCGGCTGGAGCGCCTCAGCCAGCTGCAGGGCGGTGGGGCTGGAGAGTCGGATGTCTTTGTCCGAGAGCAGAAAGCCGAGTAGAGCGACGGTCATCCTGACCAGCTCTACATCTGCGTCCCACAGGAGCTGAACCAGGCTTTGGGTCAGGCTGCGCATTCTTTTGGCCTGTGAGGAACACAAGGCTGTGCTGTGAAGCCCTGAACGGCTGCGGCGCCAACCCCGCTCTGGCGGGGCAGCTCCACGGGCTGCTGTGGGGCCCAGAGGCCAAAGGCCTGTCCCGAGGCACTCGAGCAGCTGAGCGGGGAGGCAGCAGAGCTGGCAGCAGCTGTGCTCCCCGGCTCCAGGATTCCAGCACGGCTTCAGCCAACTGCCCCTTCCTCACCATCACAGCATCCTGGCTGAGCACCACGAGGCCTCTCAGCACCTGGCGACGCATCTCTGGGCGCTCGCTCCACAGGTGCCTTGAAAGGATCGGCAGGATGCTTTCGCCGCAGTCGGTCACCTCCACGTAGACCAGGGCCTGAAAGGCACGGAGCGGTGACGGGCTGCCCGGTCGGCAGCAGCCCGCACCCGCACAGGGCTGGGCCCAGGCAGCAGCACAGGGTGCGGCACCGTCCCAGGCAGCCCTGCCCAAAAGCAGCAGTGGCTCTGCAGAGCCCCTGGGCTCCCTGCTCTGCGCAGGCCACTTGCCCACTCCTCTGTGCCACCCAGCCCTCGGATTCCTTGGCCTTGAGGAGCCACGAGGGAAGTGCGATTGCTGGCAGCAGAGGGACCCAAAACACAGCTGGGCACAAGTGTCACCCCAGCAGCAAGGGGCCAAGGGCGCACGGTGGAACCCCCCCTCTGCCCCAGCTCCGTTCACTGGGCTTCCCCCGCAGATGCGGCTGCAGAAGGCCAGAGAGGTGGAGGCAGCTCGACCAGGCAGCGCTCGCCATCAGGCTCACCTCCACAAGGAACGCCATGGCAGGGAGCTCCCAGGGACACATCTCTTCACTGAGCAGCTCCAGGAGGCAGCATACGATGCTGCAACACCAGGCTGTGCAGGCAGAACCCATCTCCCTGGCAGGGGGAAAAAGGCACTGTCATGCCCGAGCTGGCTGGGCAAGCCTCTCCCGCCACTCACTCCCAGAGGCCTGGTCTTTCCCCAGCACCCCGGCAGGGGACCAGGGCACTCTGGCAGGCGGCTCCTCCTGTGCACCCGCCTCTCCCAGCCTTTTCCACTCTGCTCGGCCATCCCTCGGTGACAAGGCCCTCTGGCCCACGACCACGGGCACTGTAGGGGTGCCCCGTGCAGAGGGCAGAAATGACAGGGGCAGCGGGGACAAGGGGGTCTCACCTGGCCAGCAGACCCACCGCGTAGTGGTGGGTGTCAGCGCTGAGCAGCGTGTCCCAGCCACGCTTGCGTTCCATGGCCACCAACACGCTCTCACAGCGCAGACGGTGCAGCAGGGCTTTGATGGTCAGCACTGCAAACCTGTGTGCAGAGCAAAGGCCAGGTCATGCTGGGAGCCCTGGCCAGCCCCAAAGGCGTGGCAGGGACAGGAGGACTGGGACGGAGCACCTGTTGGGGTTGGTGGGAAGGCTGTGTTGCTTCCGGCATTCCCTCCACAAGGTGTCAACCTCCTCCAGCATCTGCACGGTGCTGAAGAACACTTGGAACAGCAGATGCACAAAGAGGTTGGGGAAACACCCCCTCACTGCACGCGTGCAGCAGAGCAGATGGAGGATCTTCCAGAATGCCAAGGTTGCCTGCGAAAAGTAAACCAGCCGGAGACAGCGCTCAGTGCCCAGACATCCATGTGGCAGGGCCCGAGCGCGGCAGGGAGAGGCCAGGGGAGACGCAGGAGGAGCACCCGGCCTGGTGCCCCTGAACCTGCCCCTAAGCCAGCTTTGCAGCCCAGTGCCTAAGGCAGGGAGATGCAGTGCTGGGGGAGGAGGAAGAGCTGCCGGGGAGGAGACGTGAGGGTGAGCAAAGGCCGGTTCCAGAAACTCACAGCCAGGGCAAAGACTTCCGTTTCATCCCCATCCGAGGTGCACATGCTGCAGGCTGGCCAGCTTCCCAGGACAAGGGCAAGTATCTGCAGCACCGACTCGGCAGTACTTCTTGAGGAGATGATTGTCCTCCACATGGTCACCGCAGCTCTGCGGGGTCAAAACTCTGTGTCAGCGGGCTCTCAGCCACAGTGCCACGGCCTGGGCAGTTCCCACTCCCAGGTGACAGAGCCGCAGCACCGTGAGGAGCAAGGAGGGCACATGGGAGCAGGATGCACGGCTGGCATGCCAGGGCTGGGAAACAGAAGAGCCAGAGGCTCCTGGAACTCTCGGCCTGACAGACACCTGGGATGGGCTCTACAGGGGGATGGGCTGGTGAGCCCTGGAGGCAGGGGGGCCCCATACCTGTCACAGGATGGGGCAGAGCGCAGCAGAGTCACCGCCACATCCACGGGGTGTGCCTCGACCAGAGCCAGCACAGCCTTGTCTAGTCTGCGCTCAGCAGACGCATTGGCCGTGAGCCACCGGTGGATGTACCTGACCAAGGCCGGCACCTGGAGGGGGCACGGGGGAGAGTTGGAGAGCTGCCAGAGCCAGCAACTTGCCTGGCTTCCCCCGACAGGTGCTTCCCTTCCCACCACTCTCCGCCGGCCTCAAAGGCTGAGGGGGCCCAGCGGAGCCGGCGTGAGGGGCCACCCAATCCCTGCAGGGCTGGAGCCCTGGCCACAGGCTGCTTACTTTCTTGGCATTGGAGACACCATTCTCCACAAGCAAATCCAGCAGGGCAGCACTGGTTTCGGCACTGGAGAGGTCAGAGTTTGCCATGCCCCCAGCGCCCATGGCAATGGTCTCTTCCCTCCAAATGCACCTGGTGAATTCGCAAACCATCTGCAGGAGAAAGGCAGGAAGAGAGGGATGTGCCCTGGAGAGCTCCCACAGCGGTGCCAGGCTGAGCAGGCCTGACAGCAGGCCCAGCCCAGGAGGCGACGGCTGCAGGTACCTGTGCTGCCCTGCGGAAGCGGCCACGGGCGCGGTCCTGCTCTTGTGTCCGAGCCCGTCCTGGATCTGGCAAAGAGCGAGCGCGGTCAGAGCTGAGGGGCTGCGGGACAGGCCGGAGAACACGTCCCAGCCCCAGGCTCCACAAGCGGGGCCGGCCCAGGGATGCCCAGTGTGTGGAGCTGCCAGGGGATCAGCCCCGGGCCCTCCTCCCCCCTCCTTTTCCTTGGCCATGTCCACAGGGGATGGGATGGCAAGAGGCCCATCTGGCTGCGGCCACCAGCCCTGGGGCCCAGCTCTGCCACTCACCCTCCTGCAGGGGCTGGGACCGCTCCGCCTCCTCAGGCTGCTGTGATGGGGCAGCTCCAGGGCCTTCCTCCTCCCCCTCCTTCAGCCAGGCCAGCTTGGGCACCCTGGGGGGGCTCTGCTCCATGTCTCTGTCTGGCTTCACGGCTTCCTGCAGGACAGATGGCACGCAAAAGCTCTGGGTCACCAAGTCCCGCACAAGTGCCTTGAAGGCACCTGCAATACAGGAGGTTTGGGAACGCTCCGGCTCATCAAGTCCCACAGGCTGGCCTGGAGGGGCCATGGGGGAGTTGGAGAGCTGCCAGAGGGAGCAATTTTCCCACTTTCCCCCGAGAAGGGCTTCCCTTCCCACCACACCGTGCTGGCCTCAAAGGCGGAGGGGGCCCAGCAGACCTGACTAGAGGGGCCACACAATCCCTACCCACAGGCTGCTTACTTCCACAGAGACAACTCTCTCCCCGGGAATGTCCAGACTAGGAGCATCGGGCAGGCGCTGAACGGGTGTGATGTCAGTGCCTGCCATGCCCTGGGTGGTTGCACCATCAGCCTCGGCCGTAGGCTCACTCGGCGTGGGGTCAGGCTGTGCCATGACCTCGGTTGGTGTGACCCTGGTCTTCCTACGCCGAATGCCCACAAATTTCAGAAAGGCCTACAGGAAAACAAAGGGCAGGGAAGAGAGGGATGTGCCCTGGAGAGCTCCCACAGCGGGTGCCGGGCTGAGCAGGCCTGACAGCAGGCCCAGCCCAGGAGGTGACAGCTGCAGGTACCTGTGCTGCCCTGCGGAAGCGGCCACGGGCGCGGTCCTGCTCTTGTGTCTGGGTCCGTCCTGGATCTGGCAAAGAGCGAGCGCGGTCAGAGCTGAGGGGCTGCGGGACAGGCCGCAGAACACGGCCCAGCCCCGCGCTCCACAGGCGGGGCTGGCCCCGGGATGCCCAGCACGTGCAGCTGCCGGGGAAAAGCCTCGGGCCCTCCTCTCCCCTCCCTTTTCCTGGCCATATCCACTGGGGATGGGATAGCAAGAGGCCCAGCCGGATGCAGCCACCAGCCCTGGGGCCCAGCTCTGCCACTCACCCTCCTGCAGGGGCTGGGACCGTTCCGCCTCCTCAGGTTGCCGTGCTGGGCCAGTCCCAGGGCCGTCCTTCTTCTTCCTCCCGAGACACCCGCCCAGGCTGAAGCGTCTCCCTGCCATCCTGCAGTCGGGCCTCAAGGGCACCTGCTGCAGGGATTGGAGACACCAGGGAAAAGCTCTGGGGCACCGAGCCCCAGAGAATGGCCTCGAGGGCACCTGCCGCAGGAACTGGAGACTCCTCGCAAAAGCTCCGGGTCACCAACTCCCACGGTCTGGCCTCGAGGGCACCTGAAAGAGACAAAAGCCTACGAAACGCTACGGGTTAACAAGTCCTGCAGCGCGGCCTCAAGGGCACCTGCCGCGGGGCTTGGAGACACCTCGCAAAAGCTCCGTGTCACCAAGTCCCACGGTCTGGCCTTGAGGGCACTTGCAGCACAGAAACGCCTCCAAAACGCTCCGGATCCGCAGGGAAGGAGTTGGCTGCACGGGGGCTCCGCACAACACCGCTCTCTCCCGTCCGTCCCGTCGCACGCTCCGAGGAGCACTGAGGCGTGGCCACCTCACCACCGCTACTATGTCATCACGTGTCACAAAGGGCCCTGTGACACCCTGCCCAAGGGATAGTGCTGAAGCAGACCAAGGAAAATCCATATGAAATCCATATGGAATCCATAGGGTTTGATGGAGTACTGTGTGTGTTACAGCCAGATAGGGGAATTTAGTGCTCTTATGTAATGAGGGGTCACTGGGAGAACAGGTTTAGTAATTGAGGCATAAAAGATGAAAGCAAGAAACCAACAAACCCTTACATTTTGTTGGCTTTGTGGCATTCAAGTGACTGCCTCAGTAGTCACTGCTTTTTCCTGTCGTTGTCTGAAACAGTTTCTCAAAAATAAATCATATTGCTTTTCATGTTTTTGCATAACATTGAATAATATGAAATCTTTGGGGATCTCTGTTTGGATTGGGTTCTGTAAAACTATGGATACTTGAGAAGAAAGTCTTTGAAAAGGAAGAAAGGTTGTGTTTAGTTGGGTTTTTCTCATGTGATAATATCATGCATGTCTTGTTGAAATAGAC